TGCACATTTTGATTTCGTCATCAACTATTTTTACTATTACAAGATTTTCTCCAAAACACATTCTTTTCAACATTCTTAATATCACTAACTACTTTTTCCCACATAACATTAGCTTTCTCATGCACAAACAAAATCTTAATCTCAAAAATATTTTTGAGAGTGCTCTTTAAATTTCCTCATCTAATCCTAGAACAACGTTTTATTTTATATTTTTCTCCTTCATCTTAAAATTCAAATTTAATAAGCGATGTTGAGTACATAAACTTCACTCGAAATAACTTTATAATCTTTCCTATGTAAACGATCTATTTTTCTTATAATAAAATAATCAATCTAAACTTTATAATATCCATTCTTATAATTGATGAGATGCTATATTTTTTTCTTAAATAAGATGTTAGCAATTACAAAATCTTAAACTATAGTAAAATCTAATATAGTCGTACCACCTTCAAAAGTCGCTCCAAACCCATAGCCACTATCAATACTTTTAAAATCAAGTACCTCTCTACCAACATGTCCATTTAGATCCCCTCTAATAAAAACTTTCTTCAAGAGGTATTTTTTGTATTAATTCATCTAAGTCATTCCAAAATTTAAATTTTGAACACAAATCTAAACCTACTTGAAGAGCATAATCATTTATAATATTAATAATCTTAGCATCAACAATCATCTTTAAATCTATAATTATATCTTCAATTTTATTAATTTTTACAACATTAACTTTCAAACTCTTATCTATAATCACACATACAACATTTCTAATATAACTCATACCAGAATATCATAGTTAAAATCATAAACTATTAATCTCCTAAGCCTTCTCCCCAACCATTTAGTTTTCTAAATGCATAAAATATTTATCTTCAAATTAATTCCATTAATTTTCCTGTAAGAGAACCTATAGTCCAAGTTAATATTCTAATTATAGTTTCACAGACTAGCTTCTTTGCCCACATTCGTCCATGTAGGAAATATTGCCAATTTAACATTATACCTAGGTGATGTAGTGGCCCTTGCACACTTCTTGTTGTATTCAGATCATACAACACGTCGCTTCCAAGAAACGTTCTAGCATTCACAATATATTAAAGGATTTATGTCATGATTATTTAAAAAGTTTTATGCTGGTGTTGACCTCAAATTTGGCAAACCAAAATCATTTTGTTGATAGCCGACAAATTCAAAATTGAACCGCTTTTGATTTAATCAAAGTCGACTTGATCACACAAATTAAATATGATGACATCAAGTCTGGTTCGACTCGATTCGAGTCTGATTTAATTTCGACGTCATCATCAATCATTAAAAAGATTCTAATCAAACTAAAAATTAATTTAATTAATAATCAAATAAATCCATTTGAGCTTCGTCGGGTCAATTCGACTTGACTCAAGCCCGAAATTACCAAAAATAATTTAATTATTAATTAAACATATTCAATCGAGCTTAAATTAATGAAACTAATAATCAAGTAAATTCAATTAAGCCTCGTCAAGGCCATTCGACTTGACTCAATGGCAATTTAATTTATGCTACTCTGATTGACTCAATTTCACTCATTCCTACTTAATTTAATCAAATCAACTTCGATCGGCTCAAATTGATTCAATAAAATTTAAACCCAATGTCACATGGTCAATTTGACTTATTTTAATCCAATTTTCTCTAGCTAAATTCAGCCCTCCAACCCTTTTAAATTCAACAAATTATATTGGATTGGTTTGAAGGGCATGATTTTCATTTAAAATATTTCTGTATGTTAGGTTAAGAAGAAGAATGGTAGGGCTGATGACAACACACACTATCTTGCCTGTGGGTCATGGCAAACCACCTGACCCATTAGGATGTCTAAGAAGTGTTGTGCATCTTTAGGAAAAAATATATTTTCTAAGCCTAACTTTCAAAGTTTATCATATAATTTTTACATACAAGGTCGAGTAGCATGCATTACATTAGAAAATAACTAAAAGTTAATAAATTTTTAACAACATCGAGAATAATCATCATACATAGTAAATGGGTCAATGAGGACCTTATTTAGATGTCGGCCCTAATTTCTCCCAAACCTAATTAACAAATCTTACCCATCTTTCATAAGACCGGATTCAAAGTTTTAAGTGCCTAGGTAATTTAGCAGGCTCTCTAATCCAGATCGAGGTAAACCCATATTTGTATGTCATTTATGAATGGTTAAATTTACAAGAAAACTAAACTCATTCATATGCAAATCTTACGTTGTAGATAGCAACCAATAAGATAGAACTTGAGTTCAAAGATTATATAAAGCAACAAGTGCAAAAAAGATACAAAAATATCCATTCTCATAAACCAAAAGATTAACTATTAATTATATAAAGCAACAAGTACATATCTTAGTTGATTATCTCATATTTAATTAAACTAATAAACATTGGATTCTTATCCCAATCAAATTTTAGTTAACAATTTATAATCTTATGCTAACATCACAATCCTTATTTTATTCATCACTTAAAAACTAATCTATTAATTAATAAATTTATACCAAAATAATTCAATTTCATACTAAGCCTAGATAAGCTCTAATGAGTTTAAAATAACACTTCACTCACTAATTACTAAATAGTTATTTAGACTAACAAACATATTTCCATCACACACACACACACACACACGAAAACACACAAATATAATCAACCTCTAATTAGCTTATTTAAACAATTTTTTATCCATTTTATATTTAGCTTAAGCTAAAAATTAACAAAAATAATTATTTGTTATGTTTACTATTAAATTTTAAAACTATTGTATACGTAACTAGCCTATTCAAATGGTTATTACTCTATAGGCACAAACTTTTGATCTTTTAATACAGTAAGGGTGCTTATGTGATATCAAAAGTTGAATTTAATCATCTATGTGTCTGCTCATTCTTTCCTCTGTTCTTATTTCTTCTCATTTTAGGTTCCCAATCAAAGAAACCATTCACTTCTATCTAAAAAATATAATTCCCAACAATGTATAAATGAGAAACAAAAACTTACCAACAATTTATGGTCTACTAAATCAAAACCTTAAATACCATAATTTATCAATGAAAATATGAAATGAGTAATTTAATAAAACAAATGCTGCGCCATTTAAATCATAGAGAAATTAAGCATTTTCAATCGCAGAGAACTAGAGGAACAATTGATATACAACAGAGAGGTCATGATTTGGTAAAAAATGGACAGTAAAATGACAGTGAAATGATCATAGAAAGGAAAAACATCCCAACAGAGTGAAAAGATTAGCAAGGATACAATAATTCAAAGAAAGATAATACCCAAAACAACAGATAAGCACTGAATCATTTCTTTAAAAAACAAGCTCAATTTGATTCTACAAGGGTGGAATACCCCAATAGAGTGAAAAGATTATCCAATGCACAATAAATAAAAGGGAGATTTACATACATACATACATACCACTATATTATTGTTATTTTACATATCTAGCACCTCAAATAATAATATTACAGTTATACCACCCAAATCCTAAGTTTACCTTAAATCTACCACTCCATCTCCCGGATAGCTCACGACGTCAATGGCAACGCCGTCGGCTCCAGCCTCGCCTCCACCATCCTCTTTGAAACCAGCATCCCACCAAAGGAGGTGGAAGCGGCAAGAACTACATTTGAGAATGGCTCGTTGGCGATTGAGAATAGGATCAAGGACTATAGGTCTTATCCTCTATACTAGGGGTGTCAAAAATTAACCCGACCTGTAACACGACCCTGGCCAGACCTGGAAAATTTTGAGTTCGGGTCAACCCGTTTATTATCTGGGTCGGGTTCGGATTCGAGTTATCGACCCGTTTATAAAATTGGATCGGGTTCGGGTTGACCATAAAATCAAAAATCAACCCATTTTGACCCGGAATATTACTCCATCCAGTCACGTCATATAAAAAATTAAAAAAGTTTAATAGTTCTGTCTGCTTTAAATTTGATCATGTCCACAATTCCACAATTAAAAATATTTAATAGTAACAATGTCACATCAAATGATCCACATGTCAGACAAAAAATTAAAAATGTACTTCTCTATTGAACTTGCCAATTTGGTTACGTCATCACTGCCCTTTTTTCCCAAATAAAAAAAATTCCCCTGTTGTTGCGGTTCAAAAGACTCAAAATGAAAATGGGTAGTCACTTCCTGACATCCGCTTGCCATCCGAAATGGTGAGCTAGCTTATCTCGTCACATCAAGCTGCATCATTGGCCCATGGCCGTCCATTGTCGGGAAGTCACACTAGAAGTCGGAACTATTCAAGGAAGTCACGCCAGGAGCTCTCCTTCTTCGCTGCAGTCAGAACTCGGTGTTGTCATGTTCACGGGTCGGATCGAGTTCGAGTCCGAAAAAATAATTAGTTTGCAAAAATGGATCGGGTTCGAGTTGACCCGAATAATGCCTAGTCCATTCGGGTTTGACCTGAACCCGATCCGTGACCCGAAATTGACACCCCTACTCTTTACAGGTTTGTGAGGGACGTTGGTGCTGGTTTTCTAAGTGGTGAGAAGATTGTTTCACCGGGGGAAGAATTTGATAAGGTTTTTGATGTGATTTGCAAGGGGAAAATGATCGATACAATGCTTGAGTGCATGATGGAGTGGAATGAATCTCCTCTGCCAATATATTAGTGATTTTAACTTTGTGAAAGAAGAAGCATTTCTGAAAATAAAAATCTGCTCTTTCGCATATTCCTTCTTGCTTATGCGATTATATTAACAATCATTGTTGTTTTGTCGCAAAGTTCGAAGCTATGAACGATGGACGCGAAGGCCGGAGACGACAGTGATGTCGTTGACGTCGTGAGCTACCATGAGCTATGCCGGAGACGGAGTGGTAGTTTTGAGGTAAACTTAGGATTTGAGTGGTATAACATTAATATTAATATTTGAGGTATTAGATATGTAAAATAACAATATTATAGTGGTATGTATGTAAATAAAAACAAGATAAACCCCAAAACAATAAATAAGGACAAAGATCAATAAAAAAAAGGTCTCACTTTGGTGCTACAGAAAGAAATCATCAAAATACCTTCAAAATTGTAATCAACTAGGATTCAATTCCATAATTTTAGTCGTCTTTGCCTTGGAAAGAAAAAAAACTAATTAAAAGTAAATTATTACTGGGGACAAAAAAGCATAACAACGAATGATAGATTCTCACTCGAGGGGAACCTCCACATCTCCTTCTGAGATCTCAGTCTGCAGATCCTTTGGATCCTTGCCATCAACGGTGCATCCGACAGAAACGCACGTCCCCAGGATCTCCTTGATAGAGCCTGAAAGATCCTTGGCCATGGATCTAGTTTTCATGGTCCTCGCAATCTCGATGACATCATCGAGAGAGATGTTTCCATTGTGCTTGATGTTCTTGGTCTTCTTTCGATCGCGCTCCGGTTCCTTGAGCGCCTTGATGACTAGGGCTGCCGCAGATGGCACCACGGAGACCTTAGCCTGACGATTCTGGACGGTTAGCTTGACAGTGACACGGAGGCCCTTCCAATCCTTAGCAGTCTCCTTAGCGATGTCTTCTCCGACTTTCTTAGGAGAAAGACCAAGGGGACCGATCTTGGGGGCGAGGGAACTCGCGGCACCAACCTCGCCACCCGTGACGCGGACATATACCTCGACGACCTGGGAAGGATCGAACTTGGGCGGCATAGTGGTCGCGGAGCCTGCACAGATGCTAGGGTTTTGTTCGGAGAGGAAAGAAACGCGGTAAGGATTTCAGATTAGGGTTCGCGTTTCGGTTTGCATAAATATGCCTAAAAGTCGAACCGTTTGCATATCCGGACCAAATTGATTTTGAGCCGGTACGCCTCTTATTGAGCCGGATCATTTGCCCATGCCCAAATGGGAATAGTAAGCCTAATAGCATTAGGCAGACACATAAAAAGCATTTGAACTGAAGAAGTTTCGATGATATAAACTAACCTTAGGGGCATTTACATACTTAGCACACAAATATTAGCATTTTATCCTCTAAATTTCAATATTGATGTCCACAGCATAAAAAATATTCAACAACAACAACAACAACATCAAGCCTTTATCCCACTACATGGGGTCGGCTACATGAATCCTTTTTCTCCATTGTGTCCTATTAAAAGTCAAATTCTCGTTTAAATATAATAAAGAAAGGTCATTCCTAATATTTTCTAGCCAAGTCTTTTTAGGTCTACCCCTACCTTTCTTAACATAAGTCAAATCTAATACCTCTACTCTCCTAACCGGGTCATCAAAAGGCCGCCGTTTTATGTGACCAAACCATCAAAGGCGACTCTCTCTAATCTTATCTCTACTGGAACTACTCCAACCTTTTCAC